ATAAAAAAAACATTCATAACTAAGATGTGTAGATTACCACGTTTAGAGTTATAAAAAAAAATTATATAATTGAGTTGTAAGTATATTAATTGAATGATTAAATAATGGTGGAGTACCAAATTGGTTAAAGAAAAGTCTAAGTTCAATTATATAAAAAAAAGTACGATAATATTGAGTTAATTACATGGAACTATACTTGGTAAAACAGGGGGTCGGGTGGGTATGGACCAAAAGGACTGATTTAAATGGGTCCAATATTTTAGGCCCGTATCCAGCCTTATGCGAGTATGGATATATCAGTTCATCCAATCTTCAATTTTTACAATTATACCCCCATAATTTCTATAGTTCATTTTTTACAGTTACACCCCACAATCAAATCTTCTAAATTCAATTCAATTCAACACACAAGTTCACAACCAAGAAACGTGTAGAAACTTAAGCAAAGAAATCGGAAGGATAAACTTTAAAGCAATCAGATCATTCAAAAACTTCTTCAGAGAAAGCAGAGGAATTTTGGGTTTACAGAGAAAACTCGTTCAAAGAAAGCAACATTTTCCCTTAGAGTGTTGTCGAATGGAAGAGACAAAAGAGTTGGATTCAAAAATTGTTCAGAGAAAGCACGGACTGTTCGAGGAAATTTAGCTGATAGGCCTTCCCAAGTTTCGAATTGAGAATATAACCTTGAAAAGGTTTTTGATTTTTTTTTTATTTTAAAAATCTGACCTGGCACACTTAAGCGTAATAAAGTAGCAAAAAGGTTAGGGTGAAAAGATTTAAATGTTTGTAGGTTAAAGTATAATAAAAGAAGTTGGTTTAAAATTTGAAAGACAAAAAACCATTCCTCCGTCATTAACACCTCTTCTTCCTCCCTCAAACATCTTCTCTGCCAAAGATCGCCTCTTCCTACTCCTGACTTTCGTCCAGGATGTGTATCTCCTCTTTGATTTTATATTATACAAAGATTTAAAGATAGATGGGTTTGGGTTATGATTTTGATTATGTGGTTTAGGTTCTTGGGTAGTTTTGGTAATACAAGTTGAAAGGAGTGAGATTTGTTGATGATTTTCTTGAATGTGCGTAGCTGGGGGGTGTAGCACCGATTATAGGTGAAGATGACTGAAAATGTATTCTGGAGCAAATGGATCGCTTAAGCGATCTGGTATAAGTCTGGTATATCGCTTAAGCGATCGGGTATATGGCCATAGATCGTTAAGCGATCAGGCTTATTATACTAGATCATTTAACGATATACTGGATCGCTTAAGCGATCTAGTAAGCGATACACCAATCGTTTAAGCGACTCATCAAATGTTTTTTTTTAAATCTATCTAACCCTTAAATAAGGTAATAACTTTTTTTTTTTATGATCGCTTAAGCGAAAGGTTAAAAGCAAAGGATTGCTTAAGCGATAGAATAAATCGCTTAAGCGATCGTGCGTCTGGGCATATTGATTCGTCTTGTTTGTGATCGCTTAAGCGACCAAGTGTTAAAGCGTAGAATCGCTTAAGCGATACATAATACAACCCAGATCTCTTAAGCGACTAAGTCTAAATACGCAGGAGCGCTAAGTGAGAAATGAAATCTCTTAAGCGATCCAGTGTGTTCGGATTATTTTTATTGTATTTCACTAGATCGGTTAAGTGATTAACGCTATCTTAAAAAATAAGGTGTATGATTCGTTCAGTGGACCATAACCAATATATTTTAATTAAATTAATTCTTTTACGGCTATATAAACATATACGGTGAGAATGTTACGTCTATATAAACATATCAGGTGTATGATTGTCAGTGGACCTGACCGTTATTATATTTTAATTAATTAGTTCTTATGGCTATATAAACATATATGGTGTAGAATGTTTACGTCCATATTAAACATATCAGGGTACGATTCGTTCAATAGACCATGAGTTATTATATTTTAATTAAATTGGTTCTTTAATGGCTATATTAAACATATATAGTGTAGAATGTAGTCTATATTAAACATATCAGGTGTACGATTCGTTTAGTGGATCATGACCGTTATTATATTTTAATTAAATTAGTCTGTATGGCTATATTAAACATATATGGTGTAGAATGTTTACGTCTATATTAAATTAATCAGGTATACGATTCATTCAGTGGACCATAAAGTTATTATATTTTAATTAAAATTAGTTCTTTTTAGGTATATTAAACATATATGGTGTAGAATGTTACGTCTTATTAAACATACAGGTGTACGATTCGTTCAGTGGACCATGACTGTATTATTTTTTAATTAAATTAATTCTTTTACGGCTATATTAAACATATATAGTGTAGAATGTTTACGTCTATATTAAACATAGACGGTGTCGATTCGTTCAGTGGACCATGACCGTTATTAATTTTAATTAAATTAGTTCTTTACGTCTATATAAACATATGTCCATAAACATGGAAAGAAATATTGAAGGAAAATTACCTTAATCACTTAAGCGATCCCGTCTATTTAGCCTGGTCTACAGAGTGCAAGCAGTGGTTGCAGAGTTCAATTTATATCAATATTATATATTTTTATATAGTACTTTCTTGCCAAGAACTAACAACAATAATAGAATGACAATAGATCTTTCAGTTATGTACGGTGTTGATCGACAAAGACAAATGTTCTTTTCACATTCTATTGAAATGAAAAAATAACTAATAAAAAATGACTAAATATTAAAAAAACATTGGAATATAATTTTTCACTCAAAGTTCACAATATCAAAAGATTCGCTAAGCGATCGCTAATAAGTTATAACCGATATATAAGGGTTAGATATATTTTAAAAAACATTTGCAGAGTCGCTTAAGCGATCTGGTGTATCTTACTGTATCGCTTAAGCGATTGGTATAAATAAGCTGATCGCTTAAGCGATCTACTGTATCTGCAGACTTATACCAGATGCTTAAGCGACTAGTATCGTTAAGCGATTGTGCGTATACATATATAATGCTTAAACGATCCATTAGCCCAGAATACTTTCAGTCATCTTCACCTATAATCGGTGCTACCACCCCCAGCTACGCACAATGCAAGAAAATCTCAACAAATCTCACTCCTTTCAACTTGCTTACATCAAACAAACCCAAAACCTAAACCACTAAATCAAAATATAACCCAAACCCAATCCATCCATTAAATCTTTGTAAATAGAAATATAAAATGCAAAGAGGAGATAACATCCCTGGACGAAATGTTAGGAAGTAGAAGAGAGATCTTTGCGAAGAAGATGTTAATGGCGGAGGAAGAAAAAGGGTTAATGGTGAGGAGAGAAAGTGTTAATAGTAGAGGAAGAAGAAGAGTCAGGAAGAAGAAGATGTAGACGAAGCTAGAAGAAACAACAACCAGGGGAAGGATGCGTTAATGGCGGAAGGAAGAAGAAGAGGTGTTTGGGTTTGTTTGCAAGATTTTGACTCTTGGAGACTTATTATAATTTTTAAAGATTACAAATTATTCATTAATCATATTAAACCCACTAATCATGTTAAAATTAAGCTTATAAAAACAAGGTCATTTAGTTAAATTTACAAACTCTATAGCCTTTTAATTAAATTTAAGTTAAAATGGTGTTTTAATAAAATGTCTCGTTATGCGACTTACAGAGAAAACTCATTCAAGGAAAACAATTTTTCCCTTCGAGTGTTGTTGAATGGAAGAGACAAGAGAGTTAGATTTAGGAATTAGGGATTTACTATTTACGTTAATTTTTATATTTACACGGGTACCTGCAAGTTACCCGACCGACTCGCAAAAAGGGGTGGGGTCAAGTAAATAAAAAAAAAAAGGGGTCGAAAGTGGTGGACTCGTAACATATATTATTTTTATGGGGTGGGTCCACTACAGGTATGGACCTGTTTGCCAAGTATAAATGGAACTTGCCTCTTTCATATTTTATAAGAGTATAAGAAAAAATTATTGGTTAACACAAATACCCTAGTTTTAAGTTTTCGTTAACGCTTTGTTAGGATTATTTCCTTACATCCCTCCAATATATTTGGATTATTTTCCTTACATCCCCGCCAAGTCCCGGTAATAGCCACTCTCCATTTATCGTCAATTTTTTGTGTCAAAGTTAATTAAGGGAAGGGTGAAATAGACCTTTTGGTTTAAAAAAAAGCAGAATTTTAAATTACATAAATTTTTAGAAAAAAAAATAAATATAAAATAATTTAAGATTTAATAGTACTTTTAAAAATATTACCTTTTTTTTTATCACAAGATGTCACACGATTAGAGATCCCAAAACCACCATTCTTAGAGGTGAAATTGAACTTTTTTTTTTTCTTATTTTTTTATTATTAAATTTTTCAATTTACAAACAAGTTTTTTTTTTCAGTTTTTATATTTTTACTTTAAAATTATTTAATTTGTCACATATTTATAATTTAGAAAAAAATATATTTAAAAAATTTGTATCAATTTTTTTAAAAAATTTTAGTTCACAAATATAATGTTAATAAATTCATTGGGTTTTGATTTCACAAATATTTCATTATAGTCCAGGTTCCAAAATAGGTTCTAAACAGGTTCCAAAAACAGTTTCTAAAACAGGTTCCAAACAGATTCCAAAACAGGTTCCAAAGTAGGTTCCAAATAGGTTCCAAAACAAGTTCCAAACAGGTTCCAAACCGGGTACCCCCTACAGGTTCCAAACAAGGTACCTTTTTTACAGGTTTCGGTTCCGATTCCGGTTCCTCCACATGCAAGAACCGGAACCGTTGGAACCGGAACCTACCCGCACAGTGCAGGTTCTGGGTAGGTTCCGGTTTTGGTTCCGATTTTTACCCCCGGTTCCGGTTCTACCCGCTACCCGTGCTCACCCATTACATCATTGGTATGAAAGTGTTATTGAAACATCAACATTCACAACAATTATAGTTATCTGAAAGCAATTCATTTCGCAACAACATAGCTTTGAAGCATGGGGAGCCTAAAACAACTAAAAACTCAAGCAAGTCATTTAAATTTCCTCAGAATTTCATATTCCAATTTCTGAATACCTATCTTCAGTAACAGAAGCTCGAAACATGCTTGTGGTATTGAGAGGCATGGTGATTTCCCTTGTGGAAGACACAACAATCAACCCAACAGTGCCTCTTGGAACCCACTCCTCTACAGCATGAGCTACTGCTTCCTTCAGAGAGAGACCTATAAATTCCATAAGACCAGCAACATCCCTCGCAGCAGTAGCTTGTATTATTGCTTCACCCTTGCCAGTAGCAGAAATTGCACAGAGGTTGTTTGTGTATGTTTCTGCACCAATGATGGGTGTATCCCCAATCCTACCCAGCATTTTGTTAACAAATCCACCCGTAGAAGTTGCAGAAGCTAAATTTCCTTCATTATCAACAGCTACACATCCAACAGTTCCAATTTGGCTATCACCATCCACAAGTGGAGTTTCATTTTGGCATCCTTCGGAATTGGCTGTGTATAATCTAACTGTAGAATCATAACTATTTTACAAGCATGTAAATAAAAAAACCAATCAAAGTGATTCAAACATAAAAACCAATTTTCAGGCACGCTGACATTAAAGTTAAGCCAATGAACAACCAAAAATAATACCCTGGTTAAAGAAACATAACCAAAAAATACATTACAATATGTCAAATGATTAAAAGTTGCAATTATATATAGTCAGTGCATCACACTGATACTATCCTCAGTTATCAAACCATGCTAAGTAAATATATTTTCATACTAGGTTTCTACTTTCTATCAAAACCACAGAAACGTCAAGCAGATGGGCAACCTTAATGGTAGCAAAATTCAAGAAGCAGATAAAAGAGATAACTAATAAGTAAAAATTTATTTGAAAAGTTAAAAGCATCAGAATTCTGAATCTCATTTATCTACATTTCTAGGAAAAAGAGATACCTAAACTCTATTGGCTTCTTTTGCCTGCTTTAGCCTTTCAACATTTTCTGGTGTAATAAAATGACTTGAATCTACAGTTTCAACACCCTGGACAATTTAAAAATCACAACCATATGTGACAATTTGATCAATATCAAAAACTCATCTAATAAATGCTAGTAGGGATGCATCTAACAAAGTGAACAACAAAAGATGATCAAAATTCAACTCAAACTAATATAGAGAAAAATGCACAGCTAGTTTATGGAAATTCAGGAACAAACTATTTATGTAAAAAAGAAAAAAAAGGCTTCAAGAAGTCTAGTTCACACAGAACTAGAAAAAACATTTCCACTGAGACAGAAATTCTGATAAAGGACATGCTTCTTTAGATATTGTTCAAAATCAGGAAAAGAACTATTAAATAATGTAGGAAGTACTGTGTATACATGCTTCTTTTAGATATTGTTCAAAATCAGGAAAACAACATTGTGGAGATCTTCCTTCCAACAAATATCGAACCGCATAAAACAACATTATACTGCATAGCTTTTTGAGAAAATTTGCTTACAGTTGTTTTACTTTTCATAATAATAAGACAAGTTCAGAGCAGTATCACCACAATATGAAAGTAGTCAATGAAACGTAGGGGAGCCAACACGAGCTCGATTGCTGGAGGTGTTGGAGAAATTTAGTCAAGTTTTCGATCCACTTCCCGGGTTACCACCTGCCAGGTCAAGATACCACACCATTAAATTAGTTCCAGGAACTCAACCACCAAACCTTAGACCATATAGGTACCCTTACTATCAAAAAAATGAAATAGAGCGCATTGTCAAGGAAATGCTGGCTTCGAGAATTATAAAGTCAAGCATCAACCCATTCTCAAGTCCTGTTTTATTGGTGAAGAAGAAGGATGGAGGGTGGAGATTTTGTGTGGATTATAGGGTAGTTAACAAGGTGACAGTTCCAGACAAATTTTCGATTCCAACTATCGACAAGTTATTTGATGAGTTAGAAGGGGCAATAGTGTTTTCGAAGCTCGATTTGAAGTCAGGCTATCATCAAATCAGAGTTAAACCAGAGGACACACACAAAACAGCTTTCCGAACACACGAAGGGCACTATGAATTTCTGGTAATGCCCTTCGGCCTTACCAATGCACCAGTCACCTTCCAAGCAGTAATGAATGACATCTTCAAGCCTTATTTAAGAAAGTTCTTGTTAGTTTTCTTCGACGACATACTGATTTATAGTAGGGAGGTGGGCGAACATGCTAGGCATCTAAGCATTATTTTACAGGTACTATTAGAAAATCAGTTGGTGGTCAATTAGAAGAAATGTCATTTTGGGCAACCCCAGTTAGAATATTTGGGGCATGTGGTCTCAGCTAAGGGCGTGGCAGTTGACCCCTCACAGATAAAGAGTATTACTAAATGGCCAGAACCAAGAGACATCAGGGCACTCCGAGGTTTTCTAGGGCTGACAGGATATTATCGCCACTTTGTTCGCGATTATGGAAAGATAGCCCTTCCACTCACTGCCCTATTAAAGAAGGATTCATTTGTGTGGAATACAGCAGCTCAAGGTGCTTTTGAAGAGTTAAAAAGGCTCATGACAAGTGTCCCAGTTCTTCGGATGCCTAATTTCACTCAAGAATTTATCACAGAGACTGATGCTTCCGGGAGTGGTTTAGGAGCTGTGCTGATGCAACAGGGGCGACCTATTGCCTTTCTCAACAAAGGTTTGTCTCTAAATTCCAACTGAAATCAGTCTATGAACGTGAATTAATGGCTATAGTTATGGCTGTGCAAAAGTGGCGCCATTATCTTTTGGGAAGATGCTTTGTTATTCGGACAGATCAGCGCAGTCTTCACTTCTTAACTGATCAAACACTGTTGATTGAGAATCAGTAAAAATGGGTTATCAAGTTGTTAGGGGTTAGATTTTATAATTCAGTATAAACCTGGGCCACAGAACAAGGCAATAGACACTCTTTCTAGGATGCCTGAAGTTGTAGAGCATCATGCTCTTTCTATGGGCTATTTTTTGAGACTAGCCAGTTTAGAAGATGCCATTCAGCAAGATGACAGGTTACACGAGATCATGCAACAGCTCTTTATCGACTCGAATAGCCATTCTCATTTCAGATTGGTGGGACGCCATCTGCTGTACCATAACAGGCTGGTGGTACCTAAATCTGGACCTCATATCCAGAAAATATTACATGAGTTTCATGCCTCACCCATCGGGGGCCATTCGGGGTTCTTTCGGACATATAAGCGCATCACAAATGTGGTGTTTTGGGAGGAAATGAAGAATGACATTAAGGAGTTTGTGGCCGCTTGCTCTATTTGCCAACAAAATAAATACGACGCCTTGAGCCCAGCGGGTTTGCTTCAGCCATTGCCTATTCCTAACCAAGTGTGGGAAGATGTCTCGATGGAATTTATCATGGGGCTTCCCAAAGCTCTTGGGGTCGATACAATTCTGGTAGTGATTGATCGTCTTACAAAATATAGCCATTTTTTAACTCTTAAGCATCCTTACACAGCCAAAGTGGTAGCTGACCTGTTTATCAAAGAGGTGGTCCGACTGCATGGGTTTCCCCGTACCATTGTTTCGGATCGGGATAGGGTTTTCATGAGCAACTTTTGGGGAGAATTGTTTAAACAGTCAGGTACCTAATTGCACATGAGTTCAGCTTACCACCCACAGACGGATGGTCAAACAGAGGTGGTAAACCACTGCTTGGAGACATACCTCTGGTGCTTTGTCAATAGCCAACCCCAACAATGGCCAAGATGGGTTTTGTGGGCAGAGTTTTAGTTCAACACCACTTATAATAGATCCACAGGGATGTGTCCATTTAAGGCTCTTTATGGTCGTGACCCTCCAACGGTGTTGCGCTATGCAGACCACACTTCTTCAGTCGAAGAAGTTGACCAGCAACTTCAGCAATGCAACCATATCATCGAGGAATTAAATGAGAATCTCTTCAAGGCTCAAAACCGAATGAAAACTTATGCTGATCACTGCCGACGAGAAGTTACGTTTGAAATAGGGGAATCTATGTATTTAAAGTTACAGCCATACAGATTAAGATCTCTAGCTCGTCAATATAATGAGAAACTTAGCCCGCGGTTTTACGGTCCATTTGTGATCACCGACAGAATTGGGGCAGTTGCATACAGGCTGGCATTACCTTCTTCAGCTCGTATTCATGACGTTTTCCATGTTTCGCAATTGAAAAGGGCAACTTTCCCAATCCCCAATAGCCAACCTCTACCGACAACCCTCAATGAAGATTTCATTTTGCAACTTGAACCTGAAGCAGTACTCAAGAAAAGGAAGCTCCTGAATGGACAGTGGGAGGTGCTAATTCAATGGAAAGGCTTACCTCCCTATGAAAACACTTGGGAGGATTTTGACACTATCCACTACGAATTCCCTTCTTTCTACCTTAAGGACAAGGTGGTTCTCCTTGGGGAGGGTAATGATGAGCAACTAAAGGGGTTGGTTTACCGTAGGAAGAGTAGTGGTAAGAAGTAGGGGAATATTTGCTATGTAGGAGGTTAGGATTTGTTATGGGAGGACAGGTGGCCTGATAGGATTAGATGAAAGAGGAATTATGTTAGGAGCAAAAAAGTGTCAGGGAATATAAAAAGGAGGTGGAGAAAAGAAAAGGATATTCATAAAAGAAGGTTAAGGTTGGGAAGGGAGGTGATTGACCCTCGAAGTTCTGTCTCATCATTTATTGTTTTCTTTATTGTACTTTGCATTATTTTCGGTTGTTATTGGTTCATTGGGTTGCCGATAGAACATGGCCTTTGGATGTATTATCTCAGGATGTACTGTTCTGTTTTGATATCAATATATAGAGTTATTTCTTTCTCTGGTTGTGACCATTGATTGTGAACTGTTGGATAGACTGTTTGGTATTGCTGGGTGATTTGCAGGTCAGGTTCTATCAGAAGTACTGTGTATACGTGCTTCTTTTAGATATTGTTCAAAATCAGGAAAACAACACTCTGGAGATCTTCCTTCCAACAAATATCGAACGGTATAAAACAACATTATACTGCATAGCTTCTTGAGAAAATTTGCTTACAGCTGTTTTACTTTTCATAATAATAAGACAAGTTCAGAGCAGTATCACCACAATATGAAAATAGTCAATGAAACGTAGGGGAACCAACACGAGCTCCATGCATGCAAATTTGCATGTAAACAGAACTTCAAATTTAAATCAGAGCGAAAAAAGACAGGCCCTCAGCTATACAGGTATGAGCTTAACATAAACAACATAGAGGAGGCAGAGTAAGATTGTAACTAACTTGCTCCCTAGCAAAATCCTCTGCTCCATCAAAAGCAAGATAAATATGAGGAGTCTTCTGCATGACAAGTCGTGCAAGAGATATAGGATTAACAACAGTGGTAAGTCCAGAAACAGCTCCACATCTCTTTGTTTTTCCATCCATTATGCAAGCTTCCATCGCAACCGTGCCTTTGGTGGTTAATACAGATCCCCTACCCGCATTAAAGTTTGGATGGTTTTCTAGTTCACGAACCTATTAAGAGCA